GGAAGGTGCATAAAAACTGGGATGCTTGCTGTAAATGCACGCGTCCACCTCGGGGTCTCGCGTTGTCTCCTTGATCAGCACAGGATTGTAGTGCCAAGAGAGCTCACTTCGTTATACCATTCATAGCTATTTGTAACGGCGTTCTTACCATATGTTAATTGCGATTACTGACTGCTAACAACACTGCAATTGTTTCGGGAAGTTGCTATTAGTATTACAACCAAGTTTTGTTAAATTGAAGTTAATTGGAGCATTAATGTGACCAAATATATGGCAAAAAGTGAATATCTTGATGCCAAATGCAAGTCGTTATATTATAATAAACTGATTGCTCTTTTCGTCCATTAACAATTAATTGGTGTTGAATGCTATATTAGCTAAAGGCTCATTATCTGGGTAAAACTGCATATACATTTGTATGTTAGACTCTTTACTTCTTCATGCAAAATGGCGTCACAACTAGTGCCTTTTTTCTTGTTGTGCCACTTTGTGAGACATGTCTTTTATTGTCTGCATCTGTATCAACGCCCCGTACTTAATCTAATCGGCATAAATTTTAGTCGAAAAAAAGCGGCAAACACCTCGACAGGTGATATGAAAAAGCGGGCTTGTGCCACAAGCCGAGACCTCTCGCGCCGTGGCGATGAAGGCGATAGTAGCGAGGATACTGATTCCAGCTCGACGGGAGGAACTACTGAATTGGATAATGACGATCCCGAAACCATGGCCGTAAATCGGCAAGCCGAAAAAACCGGCAACACTGGTGTTGGTACCATGAGTGAGAAGTACTCTGGTCTGGTTTTTGACGTGCGTTTCTGCCTTAATATTGAGTCTATCTTCTTAATTACTTCTTTGGCCTAATTTGGAGAGTCAGCGCTTATCATGAGAGCCCTAGTTTTGGTTTTTCGGGGTTCTTTTGTTAAGTTCAATCGATATACAATCTACGTTAATGCTCTGGAAGTAAAGTCAAATCATTGGCATCGGCTTCAGCTAAAGTCGAGCTTGTCTCTTTCTTGTACCAAAGCAAGACTTTTGTGGCTCTGGGTTCATTTGCTATGTTATGGTTGCTAGCCATAAACTGCAGGACCACCAAACAAGTAGATTTTTGCAGCTAAAGTAGCATCCACGTCCTGTGTTGCAGGGGGAGTGACAGGGCTGGAACAGAATTTTACTTGCGCAATGGAGCCTGTGTAAGTTTGGGGGACACCGCCCTAAAGCATCACCTAAATTCATTGCGAACACGAGTACCTCATTTAATAAGGATCTAAGACGTGGGTCATACTACGTATAAACTAAGACTGATTGACATTTTTTTGAAAACCGCATAAAAATATTCATTATTTTGTACAAATTAGTTTCTGGCCAAGGTCACTCAATACCAGCACACAATTTATGATTTTAGCTTTGTTTTCTTGATAGCCACTTCTCATATCCATGACGATCTGCTTCCGCGAGCTTGAGCTCGCCGCGATTCTTATCGGTCTCCAGAGCCCTCTGCAGCCGCCGCGTGACTTCAAGTTTCCGCAAGCTACAGATGATATTCTCGAGCTGCCTATCTCAGAGGCAATCAATTCGATTCATGACATCTCTAAGGTGAAACACGCTGGGAAGGAAAAGCCACTGGATGTGCACCTTGATTGGATTACAATTTTTTACCTACTTCACGACCTCAAACTTAAAGTGGACCATATGTTTGGTGCGGAGTGAGTTTTCTTTTTTTTGTTGGGCTTAGGCCTTTTCACATCGAAGAAGTCAGCCTTTTCAAAGTGTCAGCAAATTTATGCTGGTTTCTACCTCCTGAGTCTGTTAGTCAACTTTTTAATCATTTTTAAAATACTTTGTCGTGGGCTCAAACCGCGCCGGGGTCGAAGATGCGGGAGACCAGAGAGGACTAGGCGCAACCGTTTACTGGGTATCTCAACGAAGTTTTGTTTTGCTAACTGAAACAGTTGAGTGGACTAGTAAAAATACGGAAGTCTCTATGGTCACGTGAATTGAGCGGGTGATGGTGGTACATACAGAGGGGTGAATGAGCAGGCTATCCCAGTGACTGACGTGAAGAGGGGGGCGTGTGGGGCTGCGACGACCGGGTTATTGGACGTGAATCAATACGATTCACTACAGTGCTCCCCCTTAACGAAAGTGACGGACGAACCTTTTCTTCCAATAGGATATTCTGAAGGGTAGATCGTAAGTATTGTATGGACGATCTGAGACCTTAGAAATAGACGAACACGAGTGATAAAGCGAGGGATGGTGAATGAAACGCTTCGCGCCATTGTTCGTTGTCAGAAGACGTACGAGGTGATTTTGCTGCGGCAGACACAACCTTTTCTTTCAGAGGGATATCTGAAAGGTTGATCGTAAGACAGGTGGCGTGTGGTGCCTGAGCATTGGCGTCAGATAGTTGAGGCTTTACTACTTAGTTAAGAGTCAATAACCGGAATAAAAAAAACGAGAGTCGAGTGACGAGGTTAGGATGATTGGTTGACGCGGGGAGGTGTTGGGAATCGATGTTCGTCAAGAATTTAGGCAGCTTCCGGAGATTTGGCTTCGTCTGGGGAACAGTACGGTTGCGGAGATCGGTCATCATGCGGAGGTGATTGGGGCCAGGGATAAAAACTGATTGGGGTAGGCGGAAATTGAGTAGTAAACCCAGTCTGGTACAGGTGGGTGTAGGGTGAAATCCAGGTTGTGCGAAAAGACCGAATCGGGGCCAAGAGTTGGGCGTCATCTAAGAGTAATGATCACAAGCTGATATTCGAAGAAGGGCCTAATGGTTTGAGAGGTGACTTTCATTAGGACGTGAGATGGATTCACCGGAAAATCGCCAATTGACATGTCGGAAAGGGCGAAAATCGTTTGAAGTCGGGGTTACTAATTGTTGGGCCGTCGATCCCGCGTGACTGCCGGACATGCCGTGAAAAGGGGTTCGTGTGTGCGAGGCTGTGGCTACCGGGTTATTAGATATGAATCAACACGATTCATTACAACTTCATTGTTGTTCGCCGCATAACACTGCCCAATTTACCGGTATCACAATCACTTGAGCTCGTAAGGCGAGTGAAAGTGAATCCACAAGTCTAGGTCGTGTGCTCTTCTTTTTCGAAGCAGTCGTCGCCCGGTTTCAGAGGTATACTTTGTAAGCGACTGCTTTTCGTAGTTTTGAATTGAAGTTGAACTTTCGGATGAGGTGTTAAAACAAGGGAAGGATATTAAGGGAGGAAAATATCTGTTAATTTTTGTTCTCTTCTGAAATTTTCGAGTTAAGTGGAAATGATGACGTGTCTTATGTAATTCAATAAAAAGAAGTTAAGCAAGGAGTTGGCAGAGAGTCGAAGTGGCTGACCCATTGAAATGGCCAGCTATTTTCTTGAGCCACTAATACAGACAGTACTTGAGGTCAGCCTGTTCATGTAACCGAGGCTAATGTCAGTTGCCTCTTCAGTTTCAGTTCTCTGTGTGGAGACGGAAAAAGGCCAATGTTAACGTCATTGTAATAGTAGTGTGGCATTCTAAACAATAATCTCATTTTAAAATGCATCCTCTCTCAAGATGTCGGTTATGTGACCCAATTAATTTCAAATGTATCAATTTGCTTCTTATCTTGATATCAAGCGCAGGCCAAAGTAAACGCTGATGTACACAAAAATAGTTTCACAAGGTCTGGCTACTTATTCACTACATGCTTTCTTGTCAATCAATGTCTAGAGTTATTTCCTCATTTTCCTTTGTTTCACGGTTGTACAGAAAATGCACCTTTCAAAAACGCATTTTCGAGATGTTTGTACATTAAAAGATAATAGCTGGCTGCACGTGCTGTGCCCTCTGCTTCATATTGAAGTATTCCTCTGTTCCTGGTTTCTTCCTGCATTTTTTGCTGCCAAGGTAAGTCCGAGGACGGGGAGCTGAGAACTCGCTCTTCAAATTTATGTGTGTGGAAACCATTGGGATGTCTTGGCTTTGATTTAGTCTTTGAAGATAGCGGCTTTAGATAAGTGGCTCTTCTTGGGTCCACTTTACTGAAATACGTCGCCGGCAACAGTTATATACCCTTGAGTCTCGGTGTTTTCTTTCGGGTGTCCCTGTAGTTTGCAACTTCAGCTTCATAGTAACACAGTTTGGTAAATATCGCATTAAATGCAAACCAAAGATTAAGTGCATGGACGTTTGCCCCGCTCTTTCACCTCGTCTGTTCTAGCATTGTGGTATACACTCATTGTTCTGCCTCATTTTTTAGCCTGAGGCACGTGACAGGGTGGTATGCGTTTGAACGTTTGGATGCTTTATCAACACCACTTCGACAGCTCTACCTTCTTGCCCTCATTCCCTGCCTTGTGAACATTGTGAACTCACTGACTCTCTACTTTAAAGGTAAATTACTAGAGCCCTATTTATTCGCCCATTTTCATTTGTACTTTTAAGGATTGCCTGACAAGGCAGCAGGGGCATCGATACAACTTTGTCCACATTTCACGCTACGATTGTTTATTTGTGTGTGCGTTGCAGTAGGTTGTGAACTTGTCAATGCGAGTACCTTCGCGTTGTAAGTCAAAGTTTCCTTAATTTTGCAATTGACACGGGAAATGATGTCCTTTACTAATGCCATCTACCTCCGGGCTTTTTATCCTCTCTGATGCATTATCAGTGTCAGTTGAAGGCGAAAGTGCTAGTGCGTCTTATTGTTACCCTACTTGCTTTTAAAACTAGGCGTGATATGATCGCAATGCGGCGATTGGACTATAGCATGACTGCTGTGTGAAGTCTTGCAACTCCCAGGTTTACTACAAACTCCACTGTTAACTCCAACAGAGCCTCAGATTGAATAACACCTCCTAGCGGTCGTGTAGAAGCGTGTCTTGGTTAGTTTTTCATTTTCCACAGCTTCTTTTTTGTTCGGTCTGATAGTACAGCGTTGGCAACCTCACTTCAAATGTAACGTGGTTTCTCTGTATCTCATCCTTTGAGCAGCTGTTTGGAAATGCTTGGGCAGTATTGTTTTTGCAAATGAATTTTGCGCCTTAGTCATGTGTCGGCATTTTTTAGATGTTTTCAGTCACAGACCTTGGCAAATCTAGTAGGCATGGTATTTTTTTGCAATCCTGAAGCCTTATCAGGTGTTTATCTGGCCAGACTGGAGTGCAATTAGTCGAATTCTGCAGTTTGTATCCCTTCGTTTTTGTAGGTAAAAAATTGCCAATAAACATTAAGGATTTAGATTTTCTGGATTAAGCAATTTGTCAGCAATTTTAACATTACAATCGTAGACTTGTAGCCGTTGTGAAATTGAGAAATCAATTCAAGGTGACCTGAATTTCATCTTCCATTGTCTTCCTACGGGTGTTTGTTGTGTTGAGGTGTCAGAGGTCAGTTGTGCTATAACCTTATCTTTGCTAATACTGTACCAATAAAAAAGGCTTGCAAACGTGTGCTGCTGGGACTTAGATTTGTGTGGCGAATCGCCTTTCTGCTAAGGAGTTGCTAATAGTGTTATTTCGACCTCGTGAACATTTGATTTTGAAGACGCAGCACGTTCGAAGTTATTTTTGGCAAAAGCATCTAAACAGGCTTTGTAAACAGCGTGCGCTTTCGTTTATTTTTGAACGACAAATAACTCGGATGCCGCCAGATATAGTGAGCTACTTCTGTTAGCGTGTAAACATGACTTGGAATTTTCCTTGTTTGGAAAATATCATTTTTAAGTATGAGTCCAATCGAAGGCCTGGTCACGCCTTCTGTTTGCATCTAATCATTATCCTTTTCAATTAGCCAATACGTGGTAGATAACCAAGGAATAATATCTGATAGCATAGAAATCACATGCACTTTCACTCTTTTTTCTGCGGGTTCCAATAAGAAAGTCCTATTTTTGCACTGAGTAAATTGTTCGGGGTTATAAGGTCCCAGTTTATGCACGCAAAAAAGTTGTGTTCATAGAAGTTTAATCTTAGAACTTTTGGTGCGATGATTTTTCCCTTTCACAAATTACATAATTTTTTCTTTATTTCACTTTTTAAACTCCATATCCACAATTACAAATAATACTAATTGTAATTGTCTGGGCTGATATTTGTTTGTCATTAAGTTATTTGACAGCAGTAAGTGAAGTGTGGAATAGTACAAAGATGAGTCGAAAACCCATCTATGGTAAGTTGTTGAGAATTACCTTACTTCCCTCAGCTCGTGAGATGAATGCCTGCCTCTTTGGATCGCTCAAGCTGCGTGGCCCGAATTGTACTGATTCGACTCAAAACCACATTTGTCAGGGTGACCAACGCTGCTTTTGGATGACACAGAAGGTCGTGGTTTGACTTGCTTAACGTAGGCAATCTCAGCATTTCGGGCAAGGAAAAAGCAACAGAGTACTAGCACACTGTGTTTTGGTCCCTATATTTCAATTAGCGAATAATTTGAGAACTCCTTTTGAAATTCCTCTCTGCGGTAGTGCAAGTAAAGATAACACTCACTCCACCTGACCTCACCTGGCTGATGTCACACTGCGATCGCAAAATTACCCTGAATAAAATCACTTAGAAATCTGCGTAGGCCACTCTTAGATCAGTTTGTGATTGTTCACCAGTCCTCACATATTGGCAATTAGGTGAACTGCCTGCCCTGTGGTGTATTTTTTCCAAGATACCCAGCCTCTGGCTCTTTCGATTTTTGTAGTTTTTTTTAATTGCCTCCCCAAACAGAGATGTTTAACTATTTCAAACCTATCAGTAACTCGGGACGCAAATTAGTTTGCCAGTTGCAAAAAATGCAAATAACATCTTCCTCTCACTTTTCAAAGGTTATAAGTATCGTTCGCATCTTTGCTAACCACAACAGATGGGGAGTTTGAGGTATTGGAGAGCACTTAAAAGCAACTGCCCTTCAAGTCCTTGGGCATTTGTACCTCGCAACAACTGGATTAATTGCCACTCGCGTTCGTTTTTTGCAACCTTTTTGGGTTCCACCCACGACGCTATGTCAGTGCTCTCCGTGCATTTTAGTACGCATTTGCCAAGTCACATTTCCGCTTAGTCTCCTGTAATATGACGCTGTGACTTGGCTTCCTGCAACCAAGCTTGCTTGTGCGCTGAGAAACCCCATGCAGTAGACTGGGCTTCCTAGTAAGACTTTGACAAAATAATTTATTCCAGTACACTATTCTAAATATTCTAGACTCTGATGGTGTTGCAACTTCAGTAGGGATATTACTTCAGACGGAATATTTTTATCGTGCTACAGCAAATATTTTGTATTTTAAAGGCCTAATGTTGCCATCTTCACTTATCCTTGAACCACTTTGGAAATTCTATGACGCGTACCTTGGCGATGATTCTTTAAAAGCAGTTTAATAAGTATGTTCTCTTTTCTTCTGTCTGCAGTTTGATGGCGTACGTGCTGACCTAACATGTACTTGCTCTTTACGTCTTTTTAAATTTTTTGTAAGGTTACATGAGTCTTGAATCACACGAGTTTGCCACAGTTTTGAGAAACGGTAGATTTTCTTACAGTCTTTTCGCTGTTGAAACTAATCCTTATTTTACCTCCTCGCTTTAGTAGCTTTTTTATTCCAACTAAAAAGATATTATTTCCCATCCAGAACTCTGAGGCTGTCTCCATCCATGTATTCGTTTACGTAACTCACTTTTCAGTGTCGGTTATATTGTAGCCTGGCCAGGATGCAATTCGGGTAATGCGACTGCGAGTGCGTTCATACTGGTATCTAAACGAAAGCGCTTCATCGCCCAAAATTTGTTTAGTTCAGCAGTTCCCAATGCGGGAAAACACCTGCAGCACAACTTTTGTGCTGAGTCATCTAAAAAAACCTCGAGGGATCTATGATTGGTGTTAATTTGGAATCTCGAAGGGATGCGTATTTAGTTGACGAATAATATGCTGGACAAAATAATTACTTGGTCGAGTTCGATCGAGACTGGTGGTTTTGCTTTTCCCACACTCTAGTCTCAGTCTATGTGGATTCTCACGAGTTGTTAAAATCTTTCGAAGCCAGGTTTGTTTTTAACGTGGGACTTAGTTGATCAGAATAATGCAATGCTGAGGTTTTAATCCTATTATTTTGGGACTAATTCTTTTATTCTGTGTCATCTTGTTGTATGGACCTATCCCTACTTTGTTACATGTTAGGTGACCTTAGCGCGCAAGCAAACTATTGACCCAGTCAGACGTGCTAAAAGCATTTCCTTGAGATATTGCCACTGCTCGTTCATTTCTCGATTTGCATAACGTGATCCGCACAACGGTGTTCGTGTGATTTCCAGGATGCATGATTTTTTCCCTTTAGATGTTAGTGGTGAAGAGACGGAGGAGGATCACTTTGTCAATCTGCCTCGTAGCCAATCCAATCTGTTCTTGGGCGATTGCTTATCTGCTGGAATATACTGCCTTACCGCCCTCTCTACCGGCATTCCTCCTAGTGTCAATCTTCTTCGGTCTCCTGAGGCTCTAATTTCAAGGGCACAAAATCTAAGTAACGCGTGTCTTTCTCGTCTCAGACATCTTGCCGTCTGTTTGGACGATCACAGGCTGGCACCTGTCACTGTGGCCAAAACCATTATTGGTCAGGGCCAGCTTCCTGCCATCTCGATGTTGGACGAAGACGAGTTGGAGCTTTCCACAATCGGCAAGCCAACAAGTGTTTCTGAAGAAGCGAATGATCAAAGTAGGTGATTTTAGGTGTAGAAATCGAGCGGCACTGCCATCATTGCTTACAGCGATGAATCGCATGCCCACTTAAGGACAGCCGTCTTTCATAAGGAAGTGGTTTTCGATTTTCATCGATGACACTTCTGTTGGTGTGTGTTTCAAGGATTTGTACCTAGAAGAACATTTTCACACTTTAATAAGTCATTGTACCTGTTATTCGGGGTTGTATGCCTTGGGATTGTGAGGAGATTTGCCATGGCTTTTTTTTCTCGCTGGTAAGCTTCTTCACGACCGAAGACCGATTTTGTCTGTTGTCGCATGCTTAAAGCCTCGACATTAAGTGCAACTTGATAAGCCTAGGTAAAATTGTCATCTTCGCAGGTTCAGCCAAGAGGCCAACCTCTTCGGCGGTGTCGTTCCGCATAGGACGAGTTTTCCATGTTAGATGCACGCGTCTCTTAAAGGTATATGCTGTATTTACCTGTCACTCTTAGGTTGTAACACAAGGCTCTTTCGGTGTTGATAAAGGAGCATCAACCTTCAGCAACACCAAATGTCTTTTTAATGTCACGCATAACCTGTAACGTGATTTTATTAGCTAAACCTTGTAATGGTCGTATATGCATTTAATATGAGTCCAGGTTTTAAAGTCCTTGAGCTAATGGCGCCTTCTCAGCGTTAATTAAGCAAAAGGGCCAATGAGGCTCAATGTCGCAGGGTAGGGCAATTTCCAGCATTAATGCCAAAACACAATGAGTTTCGTTATTTCCATTCTTTGTCTTGTTTTTGGGTAGGCACGTTTGTTTTGTTATCAAGAGGCTGAATGTGCTTTTTACTGAAAAGCTAATTGAAAACATGGTTATAACTTCTTATCTCCTGAATCCCATTTGGCTAATGGGATGCCCACTGTCACATGAATGTTTCTTTGCTCTTTTGTTTGCTGACGCGGTTTTTAAGTATGTTCTTACTAATGCACTCGCCTGAAAACGCCTAGGCGTTCTCCTGGCATTACTACGAAGTAAAGTTTAGTTGTAAAAAGCAATTTTGCAGACGCATAAGTACTATACGCTGAAACCACCTTCCAGCGCGGTTGACACCCTGTACTTTTTGAACTCGTATGCAATATCTTTTGGACTAGTCTAACGCCCTTTGCCTTCTATGTTCTCTGTAGAACCCAGTGCAGCTCAGACTCTTCGCGTCATTCAGTGGTTAATAAGACAGGCACCATCGGGCTTAGTTCATGCCCCGTCAACCTTTGTTCATTGCTGCTTTGTGCTAACCTTGTCCAGGTACTTCAACAGTACTCATCCTACTGAATCAAATGATTATGAAGTGAGTTCCAACTATACATCCTTTTTTAGTTCCAAACTGGCATTCAAAAGTGTTACCTCGTTGAATAATGTCGTTTTAATTTGTATTGAGCGTAGGTGCTGTGCTTCTCAGAATAGTTAAAAACGCCACCTTTAACACAACTCCGCACCTTTTAATATACCACAAGAAATGTTAGTTGCGACATTTTCCTGGATTTGTTGAACTGCCAATGAGAGGCATTTTGGTCATGTTGTGTTGTTTTCATTTTGTGGCAGCATCTGCAGTGTCAGTGAAAACCATTAGACGATGAGTGAGTTGCAGCTTGGAATGATTAAGGTGCTCTTCACCAGGGTTTTGTGGTGAACTAGACGTTTGAGTATGCATCGTGTCTGCTAGGGATTTGTTATTTCGATGTGTTGTAAATGAAACTCCCTGCAAAGGGCTCATCGCCGAACTTGGTAGAAAAACTCAACGGTGAAGACGTTGCGGGAAAGAAAAATGAAAGCAGGTTCGTGCACGGTGGGTCATGTGTCCTGTCTGAGCCACATGGTGGCGACCGCGAGTCGCTGTCGTCAATTCATGCTGTTGTTTTTACGTAGTGCTGCCCACAGACGGACAATCTGAAAGTATTGGACCGTAGCTAGCCAACAGAAGCGGGGCGCGTTCTACTTTGTTGCAAGCCTTAATCGCATATTCGAATTGATTCCAATTGAAGTTGTTGCATTCACGATAGTGGTTGATTATTGCTTATTGTTGATTATCGATTGTTGGGTGAATGTTAATTTTCCGCCAATCGAGCTCTTTCTTAAATTTACCCATTCACTTGTGCAAATCTTGCGCAATCACATCACCACAAACCTTGCATGTAGATCAGATTGGAACCCACCTTTCTTGAGGCGGAATGGTCGTGACCCATATTTCTCGACTTGAAATGAAGTGTTACATTTTGAAATACTGCATGAAAAAAAATTGCTTACGTGACTGCAATCACTTATGATTAGATGATGAACGTTTCCATGCTTTGGAATTTCAGCACCCAAACTTGGTCGATTATACTCATTCTTTACTCAAGACGACGTGTATCCCAACTGCTGTTTGGCAAGGTAATTGCAAACAACCCTTGTTTGCTGCAATTTGGTTTTTTCTTACTTTCGGTAACCGCGTCGAATTGAATTATTTGTAAACCGAATTGTAACTCGGAAATTTTACGTCTATAGAAAATAAAGCTGCGATATTCGCCTTATCCTAAATGCAATATCAATTTAGTGTGTGTGTATGTCAACAAATGTGGTTAAAGGAAATTACTGTGTTGTGGAAAATCCGGTTTTTCCGGATGAAACACAAGCTCAAATATCCTGCGAGGACTGCATCAGTATAACAAGGCTGCAGATCATGTTAGCGTTGTAAATATTTCAATCGTTGTAGTTGGAAATTAATGAAGTTTCTGTCCAATCCGTGTTTTTATTTTAAAATCTAAGAAACATACCTGGATTATCGTTTCATGTCATGCACCAGGCACAATTTGTTTCCTCTGTTTCTGAAAGATCAAGATACGTTTTGTTTGCCATGAATTTTTAAACAAATAGGAAACAACCGGCATTTCCTGTTTTCAATATTTTTTGCAGTAGTAAGGCTGGATCATGTCCCTCTTTTTTGACATGGAATTTTGCCGGCTGTTATATGCCCTAAACGGGCCATTTTTTTTCTGTAGACATTCCCCACAAAGACTATCTGTGTGCGATTGTCGCCATGCATCTGCATTCACCGTTCTTCGGCCCGTGTTCGACTCCTGTTGATGATTGTTTGGGGATATTTTTGAATCTAATCAAGTCAAATCTCTTGCCCATACTGCTGCAGCAGCCAAAAAACCAGGTCGATCCGTGCGGGCACCTTCGCTACTCTAACCTCACGAGCCATAACGTTGGCATGTATGGGAAGAAGTTGTTAGAGGCTTTGTGCAGGCAAGTCGTTATGTAAACAGGACACATCTTTATTCGACGCTCTATGCTTGTAATGTTCCCATGGCAAATATTTCTATTTAATTGCCTATTCGATAATGTCGAAGTCTGGTTCTTGAACGCTCTAATTATATTCGCGTTCGTTTTCTCAATTTTGTCTTTGTTTTCGTTTTGTCACCGCTACGGCGCTTATCAGATGTCCACCATTTGGAGAATAACTTTCCGCAATCTTATTAATTTGCACGTGAATCAGATTTCATGTAATTTTTAATCATGCTCTTTCGTTAAGCGCTCCTATGTTAAAAGTCGAGCTCCTGAGAGCGAAAACGCCGTTGATGTTTAATGTTTAATTTATTTATCATAGTAGTTGCACAAAGGCGAAGATGCAGTTGCACTCCTAATCCCTTGTGCCTTCGTTTAAGTTGTTTTATCTTGTGCATCTCTCATTGTGCAGTTGTGTTCGAAAGCTAGCTAAACAGACTATGAACGCTGGCAAGTCGACTTCAGTCATCGACCTGTTAACTCAGTGGAATTCATGTGTGGGTACACTGGTCTCCATTACCGATGTCACGAAGGACGCCTGCGGTGGAGATATTCCCCCCAGTAGAGCGTTTTTCGATCTCCTACCGGGTCTCATGCGAACTGGGCGCGTCTTTTTGGAGAACCTCCTTCGGTGTGCAATGCCTTTCTTCAACGCACTATTTAGGTAATGTAGTTTATTAATTATAGCCTTCATCTTCTTTGCAGAGCTGATAGTATTGCAAAATGGGCTAGGTTTTGTACCTTTTTTAAATCATCGTGGGATATCTCTTTTAGCAAGTGTACTCAAAACTTTCACGACAGTTTGCCGTGGAAATTCCATCGGGTGATTCATTCATTAGTCCACACTACCACTTCCGTTGCGTTGCGGATGGAAGTGACGTGGCTCAATTCAGTTGCATTCAACCCAGTAACTGGCTCTTAAAATAAAGTTAATTTGCTTTAAGAAATGGTTATTTGTATACGCTATGCGTACATATGACTTCCCAAAAGTACTGCTCATTGGGATAAAGCCGCGCGTCTATAAAACAATCGGCGCCTGTCCCTTCCCGTACAATATCCCTACCACTGAAAGGCACTTAGCGTGCTTGTTCTTGTGGTTGAAATTTAGAATAAGATAATCGAGTTGGCCATTGTTGGGGTGCAGACCAAAGTAAGAACTGGTTTAATAAACTACAGCTGTCTAATCTAACAAAAGAGCGATGGAATTTCATGATGGCCACGTGAAGTAAATGGAACTTTTGCGTTTAACGTTGTCTCGCAATTGCAGACTATGTGAATATTAGTAGTTTATTATCAATTGTAATGTAAGAATCCAATTTTCAGCAATGTATTAGTGGGTCTAATGTGGATTGTATGGCTTTTAATCGCTCAATTTCGACACAGTTGCGGATTCAGCTTGGTGTCAGTGACTCGTGGTCTCTATTCAAACGTGTAGTTCGAAATAGTAATGATTGCGGCGATCGAATAAGTGCTTGTAATCGTAATTGCCCATCACCTCGTGAAAGGATATAACACGGAAATGTGCACGTGAATTGCCCTTTAAAGTGCTTACTTTTAATGCAGTTATAAAAAACGTATGACAGTGATTTCACGGAAATTATTTGGAATGATTCTGAAATGAAATCGTCTCCTAGTTTCGCTAAGAGCAACCTTTGCAAATTGATGTAACAGGAACACGGGCCTGCCATAGCTGACGTTAATATTCAAGCTTGTTTTAACGCCCAGTGACTCTCATAAAGCTGTAGATGACATCTGAAGGTTGTTTAATTCGCTACATAACCTCATTTATAGCCTGTCATCCACTTAACTCTCGCCATTTGATTGTTGGTAAACGTCCTCGGCAATAAACTCGCCCTAAACATTGGAACAAATGAACCAGTAGAAAAAACCATTAAACGTTATATGCGATATTTGTCTTTAAACGATCTGATGTGATATAAAATTTAATTTCGTGATTACTGACGAGGTTGTGAAAGGTTTTAAGTCGACTTTGACGCATCTTGTAGGACATGTTGAACCAAAATTTGTTTATCTGCATTATGATCAAAACTTCCTAGCCATGGAATGTAAATTAACTGTCTACCACACGGTTAGGGGTCTTACGAGCAATTTCATGGTTTTAAATTTTACTGCAGTGTATTGTTGTGGTGGTGTGTTCCATTAGAGTTGAGTCAATTCTTTCTGATGTACGCTTGTGCATCAAGCTTTTTTTGGTTTTTTTTTACCAATTATCACAGCTCTTCTTTCGGCTGCGGCGTCTGTTTTGTTGAAGTTTAAAGTCCCTTCACTAATTAGGCAAATGACCTCCGTGTGGCTGACGAATTCATGTTCATTTGAAGGTGGGGCCCTTGGAGTGTAGCCGGTTCTGTCACCTCAGAATTACCAAATTGCCTAGATTGGAACCAGCTGTAAACTTGCATATTGTTTAATGTTATTGATTTGGCCATGTTCGGAAACCGCGTAACTTCACCGCACGTAATTTATGTCTGTTGTAAGCCCCTAAACCTTTTTTCTCCTTCAAGAACCCACGCTTCGGAGGTGCTGGCTTTCCTGCGCAATGTGCAGCAGTTAACCCGCTTCCTTCAGCGCACCTGTGTCCACGCCAAAACCCGCAGGGAGGCGAGGCTCACTCCGCTCATCCCGCAGACGCGAAAATGTCTTGAAGCTTTCGTCTACAGTGTCAAGGTAACTGACGTTAACATTTTCATGCCTTTTTGTTTTTGTTTAACGGATTTTCACTAATCCTAACTCCCCTTCTGTGATGGATTGTCGTCCTCCTACATTTGCTTAATAAACGGTCAGCTGTTAATTTTATGACTCCTTTTTATCTGTTCACCTTAAACCAAAGTAGTCTAAATTATGAGCACATTATCCTTTGTTTAGCTTCTACTGTCTCAGAATAAATGCGTGGATGCCTTCTGGCTAGGAAATCTCAAGAATCGCGACCTCTCGGGACAGGAAGTTGGCTTCAAGGAGCTCTCAACTCGGCACTCCACCCAAATAAGTGGCGCTTCAGCTGGCTCATCTTTACCAGGCAGTCAGGTAACCGGGGGCTTTTCTATCGAAGTGGATGAGCACGACGAAGAAACCGAGTCCTCTCGAGATGCCATCGCAAATGCCAAATCGGACATTGAGGATGACGATGTCGAGGAATCTACTGATATTTCTGATGACTACGAAGAGGACGATGGAGATGGGAAGGAGATTTTCTAATTGTTATACCACTATTTTGTATTACCAATTTTTTATATAATAAAGCTCTATTTTCTACTTCTTAAAACTTTGTAATCAGGCAACAGAAGATAACAATGGCCAAAGAATGCTCTTGCTTCAGTTTTGATTTGTAATTCCGATCAATATTTGCCCTCAATTGTAGAGGTGCCGATTTTCATTAACACATCATGGCAACTTAATTGCCACAAGGAAGAAAGTGGGACGCCTTGCCTGCGTCCAGCTCCCTTCATTACTGACAAGCGTTTATTTAAGCCCATGCAGCTATAGTCCTGTTTTGGAAGCTTAGTACCTACATTGGTTATTGCGCAAGCATCCCAAATCCAAAGATGATCAACTTGCGTTGACAAATCAAAGCGATTGAGTGTGCCCATAAAATATGAACTATGGAAGGTGTTGCACCAACTTTCCTACGATATACATTCTTAGAGCCTTAAAACATTTCTCCGATTTTGCTGACCTAAAACCACTAGGTTACACAAGTCTTTTGGCAAAAAAATTTCACTTTCCCAGGTTCAAGTTCGTGTGTTCCGCACTTCAGGTTTGTCGTGGAATCTAGTATTTCAAGCATTTACTTTAAAATAAATCTCCCGAATACGTGTCAAATAAGCGTGCGTTTGTCAAGTTAAGCATTATCGAATTAAATGAGTATAAAATGTTTAGTGCCATGCACTTTAAAGTGCTTAAAGGTAGGACAAAGTGACCGTTAATATCAAAAATCACTGAGTACCATGTAAGCTAGTGTGGTGAACTCACGCAAGATAATTTGAATGCACGAAATTTGGTATGAGCCCCTAAAATCGGCCTGAGCGGTTCTCGTAGGTCATCGGAATGATTTGAAACCCTTCATATAGACACTAAAGTGGCTACCGTCTATCTTTCGTGCTGCATAATTTACGTAGGAGCCCGTCGGCCTCTTCCACGTTGTCGCAAATTTTGTGATATGTGTAAGTTTCATTATTCTACTTGTCTAAACCAAAATTACCGACTCAGGAATCGCTCATGATGTGCAGCATGTATCCGAATATTACAATGTAAGCGGACGCTAACCACTTAAGTTTAGCTAGTAAATGGATGGATTTACATTTAATTGTATGAATTAATTGAAAAAAATGTGGGACAGTCTTTGTGTTTGATTTGAAATTTTGCTTCTGCTATTGCCAATATTGGCATTTAACATATCTTCACTGATATAAAACTCAGAAGTCTGTTTAATGGTTAACCTAAGAAGACGTGTTGACACAGTTTGTAGTTTTTTTCATATTTCCGAGTGCTTGTTAAGTGATTTCATTTCATACGTAACCTTACCTTGCGCTGTCGGGTGTTGAATGCGTTATAAATAAGTCCACCGAACTATCGATTCACCTGCTATTTCTGCCTACTAACATGTTTTATTTATCATGTACTCAAAAGCAAAAGGCATGCCTCTATGTCTAAAAAACAATTATTTCGGTACGACGAACGCATAAAAGTGTGCTAGCGAGCCCAAGCCTACCCCAAATATTGATTTTTACGAGTTCCAACGAGGAAGCTTGATTAGTATTGCACAGATTGCATACATTTCAATTATTTTTAATAATTTAAATAACTATAAAGAATGAGAATGAATCTGATGTGAAACAGTATGGGATCATTCCTGCCGTCCGGCATCTTGAATTTTTTTGTTATCTTAAAATTACTTCATAAAAGTGACAAGACTGTGTGTGCAAAATAGTTTGGCCCGGATGCTGCTCGAACTATTTTTTTGGCATTTCTCTTGCCACAATGCAGTCGCAAAATAACAGTCACAAAAATTATCCTTTTCATTTTAATTCGGAACAATACTGCTCTGGGATCACGCGCTAGCATTACATTATCGTGCTATTATTATCGCGAACTAAACAAATAAGAATTAGTATTAAGTCGTATAGGCAATTATGTGCAATCAGACACACAAGTTGTGACATGAGTCGCAAATTTTTTGCACATTTTAATTTATAATAACACTGAAGGCAATATTTAAAGTTACAAAATCTAATTCGATTAAAAGTCATTATTTGACATGCAGTGGAATTTAAGCTGCCACCGTTTCCTTGTCGACAGTTACAACCACTGCTAACATCATTTCAAGCATGCTTTCTGTGTTTCTGCTATAAAGAACATTTAAAGGAAAAAATCTAGTTTATATTTTAAATGCAACTAACTGCCAGGTGATTCGATAATGCGACAGATCTCTATAATGCCTACAGCTGACCACAGTTATTTCGGAATGGATGCAGACAAGTGGATATTTCATTCCAAGACACTGGGTCAAAGAAATATTTTGTTATTCAATTCAGTTTTAAATAAAAATGTCATCAAATCACTTAACTTTAGGCAGTATTTAAAGTGACAACAAGTAAGTTTTTTAATTGCCATGAACTGCCTATTTTTCGAAAAAAATTGTGGAATTTCTCAAACATAAAAATCTCACCTTAGAAGTATTTAACTACTTTTGTAGTATCTCACGTTGTTTTTAGCCATATGTAATAATCAAAAAAACCTTTTTTTTGATTTCTTATAATGAGGGACTACACAGCATCAAGTTAATATGATGAGAGCCTTTTGTCTGCTCTGCTTTTCCTAGTGTGCCTATGGTTAAAAAAAACTACATGAGTAATTATCACATAGCCATTTATATTATCTAACGTTGTCAGCAAGGATTTTGGTAACATTGTTTATTCACAAGAGCGCAGTTGTGCAAATAATGCTTAAGAATCAGGAGGTAATTTGGTTTTGAGAAAAATTTAGCAAACATGGACCCCTAGAATGTAGTTTGTAACTTCTCGAAACAACGGAAACACCTCTTTATTTAATAGTTTTAGTGGAAGTTTGTTCCTACAAATGGCATTGTAAAATCCTAACAATATGTCTGAAAGCTGGATTATGCATGTTTTTGTTGCCGAACAGAACATTTATTCTCCACTACTAGCTAGTTTAGTATTCTTCAAGTCGTTACTTGTCACCCGGTGATAGCTGACGTGATTTTTCAATTGTGAACAAGATGCAATGTCAATCCCAAAGTGCATCACGACGGTTGCAACTTCTAATGACGTTTCCCGAACAAAGCACTAAGCATTCAGGAGCTGTTTTGATAACGTTGGTTTTTAGCTTTAATGGATATTTACAAACGCAGCTGCCCAATCTTTGGTATATCGTTTTTTTCAGCTATTAATGGTTATTTTTTTGGTGTAATAATATTACAACCAGTGTTTTCACTTTCTTTTGTTTAAAGCCACTACTACTTTAAAAGGCCCATTTGTGATGTCTGGAGAGTGGAGATAGCACCTGTTTACCTCACCACGGCAGACAAAAGACGTGATGCATAAGGTTCTGGCCCTTCCCCAGTTTTTACAACCAGCCTGTACTCGTGATCTTTAAATTATCCACTAATCCAAACCCTCAGTTTAATGACGTGCAAGTAAGTTGATTCATGCTCCTTGAAATTATGAAATCTAGAGCATTGAGGTATATTAAGTGAATCATAATTATTTTACGTGATCATAAATGAACGCGACCTATTTTCAAAGATGACTATTCTAATATTAGACTGTTTCGTCAGTTTGATGCTTGATATCCCTACAGTGATTTGTGCTATTTCATGTACACACCCTCCGCCTTGGCGTGTCCTGATCTCCCGATTGCCGCGTGTACTTTATCTTCTAACCGGATTTATGTAATTAATCAACCCCAAAATTCAAACCACATCTGCCACCTAAACTCAATTGATTAAGGCCACGAACCAATAATGACCCCTTTAAACATGTTTGCAATCCATAGGCAGTTGTACTCTTGTTGTACGTGCTTTAAACACACACAATAAAAGCATGGCTTAATCGAAGATGCGATGAGCACAAAGCAGACAAGCTACTCGATTTCAGTTTTGAAATTTTCATTTGTTGATGGTACGTGCCATTTCACCGTTGCAACCAGCTAGGCTCACATCCGTCAGCCACTAACACAAATATCCAGGTTTACGTAATTTTAGCATTATAGCATAGTTACTTATTGTTAAGATTTTTAACCTGAAAGCGGTTGATATTTTCCCTTTAGGAAACCCTTGATCGAAGTGAATTAAATAAGAGGCAAAACCCCAAATCCTATTTGGTTACCTGATAAACCTCGTAATAGACAGATTCGTCTGCGACTTCCAATGTGAAGTCTCAATATACGAGATAATTGCATTGATGAAGAAGACTAGACCGAACCCCAAGTGAGCCGTCGTCAAGGGTACACCCTCCTCTGCTTGGTTACAACTTGCAGCAGAAGTTGGAACTAATTGGAATGTCTAGAGAGCAGTTAGTACCAAATGAATAATTGATCAAATTATGGGATTTTGGCCGTTTAGTAAATGTGGTCTCGTGATGGTAAATCGTTTAAATTGCGGAAAGACTCGCGTATTGCTGTTGTTGATGCCTGTTATTACTCCAGGCGGTGTTGTATTTGGCAACAGCTTGAACCCCATTTTATCTTATCTCTGATCTGGCAGTGTACTTGGTAATAAGGTTGATTTTGCTTAATTTTGCGTTTTGCGTCAAGAGCACAACGTACTTTACTAAAGCACTATTTCTGGTTTTTTGATACAAATATCACAAATTAACTGGAATGGAGAAGCGTTTACTGTAATTATTTGATTCGTTGCTCAAAGCAAATGGCTGTAAAATACATTTTATAATTATCCAATATTCATTGCTCTGAGGACGGGTATAATGACAAGCCTATCGTGACTCACGGTCTTCGGACACTTATTTTTCGTGCCGTAACTCCCGTGTAATTAGTATTTTTAAGTTGCATTACGCAGTACCAACGAAGTTGATGTTTCGCACGGTGCAGATGTAACTCTAGTGCATGTGCAGAGAAGGGGAAAGAAGGTAATTGTATTGTTTTATGTGCAATGCCTTGCCAACGTTCAGATAAGTGAATTCAACTTTATCAAGAAATGCTGCATCAATTAAGCTTTACAA